ACAACCATTCTTGTATTGTTGGTAGTGTCTGGGTTTTCCAGAATTGTGCATAAAGAAGTCTTGCTGCGGTAATCATGTCCTGTAGAAGGGCAGATCTTATAAGAGGAGCATTCTGTCCAAGTTCACAAAAAAGAAGATTTAACAGCCTAATGTAAGGATGAAGCCAGCCACATTTAATATGTTTTAATTTGGATTTCTGGTGTGAAATGCATTCTTTCTCTGTGAAGATGTCCACTAACTATTTCTTGAGGACAACACGCGGTATTGTCCTCAACCTCTCTCTGCCCATCTAATGCCCACCTTTCCTCGCTCCACTTCAGATGTGGGGTTGGCTCCACTTTGGTCACCACAAGCCATGCTAAAGCGGTCAGCCTTCTGCGAATCGTTCTGGAGTAAGAAGAGGGCCGGACCATCCCCTCATCCCTGGACGCTGGTTTTCAGAATCAGCAGCCGCAGAAGCAATATGGCGCTGGTTAGGCCAAGTGAAATGAAGCAAAAACATTCCTTTCTCTCATTACAGGGACTTGAGAAACCATAAACCCTGTCTGGTCAACCGAAAAAACTTTTAGAAGGCCAAGGAATGTCGATAAAGCTGGGAGAAGATATTAGGGTACAAGCAAAGCTCTGGGAATCGAGGACAATTTAAGATACACCCCATAACTGCAAATCTCTAGAAAGCAACTATGTTCATGGAATGGCCTCTTTGTTCTCTTGCACCATTGTTTTTGTAGTTCCACCCCTTCGCCTCATCGAACCCTCCCCATATCTAACCTCACTGCCACACGAGATGCTGCTATATCCAATCCCAGCCCAATCTTATCCGATCCATTACTTGATTGATATGATTGTAATTTGCCTAATTCCATAGAGAGAGGTTCTATCCTCACCCTTTCAAGATTTGCTTCGGCTGCCTCCGATACTGCAATATAACACTGGTGCTTCAGTGAAACGGTTTGTTGGTCTCCGGTTTCATTGAATTCCTGGGGCAATTTGTGAGAGAAATTTCTCTTACTCTCCCTTTCGAAAGGGGGAGGGGCTTCCTGTGGGTTTTCTGCTGCCCATAACTGGCACTAAAGGAGGCCTTCTCTAGCCAGCTTCCGTCAGCCCTTCAAGGTAGACCTGACAATGAAACCAAAGTCCTGCAGACTGCTACTACTTTTATGACAAGGTTATTGTTACAGAATCTTGCAAGTCTGAAAGTGCTCTTCCCGTCCCTTACGTTTACTCTCCTGAATGCTAGGGAGGGTCCCTTCTGAGACGCTTTCTCCACCCCTCCTCCTTCAGATTCAAATATCGTTCATCAGACTGTTGTCTAGGCTGCGGCTCTTCCTCCCAAGGTCATTCCCACATACCATTACATCACGCTTCCTCCCTCCCTCCTTCCCTTTATCTTTGTGAGAACTAGGGAGGGTCCAATTACAGATCAGGCCAGGACTCAGATTTCTTTTATCTGACTGTTGCCTTGGTTGCGGCTCTTCATCCTGTTCCTCAAGGTTGTTCCTTCTTCCCATTACAGCTTCTGGTGCAGATAAAACATCTATTTTGCTTCAGTGCCAAACCAAGAAGGAGTTGGAACTGTGGTCAGCATTTCCTTAAGCCAGCACAATTCTCTAAAAATAAGTGTAATTATGTTATGATTAGTGTGTCACTTACCAGAACTTCTCAACCCCACCATATACATAATGGGGATAATATTGGCCTAGCTTGCAAACGACCTGTAAGGCTCACGAGAAGGGTGTGTGAATGCTCCAGGCGATAGTAGGATGCTAATTATAACACTTCACCTGGTCCGAGTTCCAGCTGGTTTCCTCATTTCCGTCAAACATGTATTTCTTCCCAAATTGCTTCACCTCTCGGTTGAGGACGGAGCTGACCCTATGAATGCAGAAAACAGAAGGTAAGAGGACAATGAGGAAGGGCTGAATTGAAATCGTTACAGCCAGAGGGTGGGGACACACAGACAAATCCAAGGTTTATTGAATAAACCACAATTGACAGGGTTCAGACAACCATGCTAAGCCATAACCTATGGTTTATAGGCACAACGGCTGGGTTCATAGAGCACAGTGAGGCAAAACTAAGCAAAAAACATGATAGATTCAGACAGAAGTCAGCAATCTGGTGCCTGCAAAGCTTTGAAAGGGTATCAGTAGAACTACAAAATTAAACTTTAAAACGAATAGTCAAAAAATTGGCAGAAATCTCAGAAGATTTGACAATCTCGTTTCAGGCATCCCAAGAGATCCTCCGTGGGAATTCCAAAATCTAATGAGATCTAGCAGTCTCGTGAGATTTTAGTCATTTTTATTTTCTGGAGCCTGCACGTGGTATTTATTGCCCACAACAGCTGTTGAAGCTTGGTTTAATTTAATGTGTGAACCGGGATTATATTTATGATTTAACACGAAGCCTGAACTCAACCATGGAGCTGGAATAGAACATAGTGGTCATCTAATCCAGTGTTTTTCAACCTTGGCAACTTTAAAAGGGGTAGACTTCAACTCCCAGAATTCCCCAGCCAGCATGCTGGCTGGGGAATTCTGGGAGGTGAA